GTTGATCAGCTGAGCACGGGGGCTCTCCTGGGTACATAGGGGGAGAGAAGGTCCCCGAGATACGTCAGTCCCAGGCTGCACAGGACTTTAAAGGTTAGTACCATCATCTTGAAATGGATCCGGTACTCAATCGGTAGCTAGTGCAATTGGAACAGTGCCGGCAGAATGTGCGTCCGCACAGGCGTTGCAGTCAAATTAGTGCTTCTGAATGTGGAGGTTCCCTCAGTCACCATGCCTACTGGCCACTGATAAGACTTATCCCTCCATGAATCTGTCTGATCCTCTTTTCAAGCTTTATATTCCCGTGGCCATCACTACATCCTCTGGGAGCAAATTTCACACTTTAATCACTTTCGTTGTAAAGCAGTGTTTCCTCTCATCTGCCCTGAACCTACTGCCCATCAGCTCCATTGGATGCCCTCAATGTCTGGTGTTTTGGGAGAGGGAGAAAAATGTCTCTTTGTCAGCTCTCTCCATCCCACACATAATTTTATAAACCTCTATAATCCCCCACCCACCCCGAGTCGAACTGGTTGAACTGTAGTCTTCCTATCCTGGACCAACATGGGCCACTTGCGGAAGCCAGAACTGGCAGATGGCGAGGTTGCTTCCCAGAAGCTGGAAACTAGAGTACCTCTAGGAACAGCTTGCCTGGAAGTGGTTTGCCGTTTTGTTTTATGGTGCGACGCCGCTATTTCTGGCCTTTCTTTTTCCCAAGCTCAACTTTTCTATGCTTCTCTAAAAATCAGGCTAAGGAGTGTTGCGTGGCTAGAGGGGGAAAGAGTAAAGTGACCTTGTCAACCCTGAAAGGCAACCCCTGTCAACCCATCGCTACAGAAGTAGTTAGTTTCTACTGCAGTTCACCTAGTTGCATCTTGAAAGGCTCTCGATTTGGGCCAGTAAGCCCCGTATGGCTCCCATTACGATAACGGCCAGGCTAACAGAGGAAGATCTGAGAACAGCTTTGCTTGCACCTCAACTTGGCAGTGGTCAATGTGGTCGCGGAACAGCAGTCACTGCAGGTATAGAGGGGGAGGGGTTTTTTTAAATTTCCTGCCTTGTGCAGGGGGTTGGACTAGATGATCCTGGAGGTCCCTTCCAACTCTATGATTCTATGGCTGAGGTTCACAACTCAAGGTCCACAGGAAGGCAAGCAGAAGGCTGCCTGTGCCATTTTGGGCAACGGCAACTCTTGCCGGGCACAGCATATGTTTCAGAAGTTATTGAGTCAGAATTCGGGAGATTGGCAGAAGGGAATTCTAGGTCACCCAAGAGCACAGTGCCCGCAGGAAGGAGTGTGCAAATCCATCTCTGATCGGTTAAAATCTCTGATGGGTTAAGCCCACAAAAAGATGCAGAGGGCTGTAAGGAACCAGGTCTGAAAGGCCCACAGATTCCGTTCGAGCTTTGCGGACCTCCTGGCTAGATCGGACTCTAATCTGGGAGAACCGGGTTTGCTTCCCCAATCTTCCACTTGCAGCTGCTGGATGACCTTGGGCAAGCCATAGTTCTGTCAGAGTTGTTCTCTCAAGAGCAGTCCTCGAAAGAGCTCTCTCAGCTCCCCACCCACCTCACAGGGTGTCTGTTGTGGGGAGGGGAAGGGAAAGGAGTTTGTAAGCTGCTCTGAGACTCTGAGTGAAGGGCGGGGTATAAATCCAAACTCTTCTCTCTTCTTCTCTCTTCGTTTTCTCCCTCTTCTCCTTCTCCCCAACAGTGGGCTTTGGGTTCTGTGTATGTGTGCGAAGTCATGGCCACACCCAGGGCTTCTTTTGTTGAAAAAGCCCAGCAGGAACTCATTAGCACAACAGGCCACACCCAACAGCAGAAATTCATTAGCATATTAGGCCACACCCTGACAGTGCACCTCATTGGCATATTAGGCCACACCCCATGCCTTCCCTTGGCTTGCCTGGGCGCCCAGCAGCCGTGGGGAGCCCAGGCAAACAGGCTCTCGGACAGGCTGGGGAAAGCACGGGGAGGCATTTCAATGCCTCCCTGATCCTCCCAGAGCCCCCCCCAGCCCCGCCTGCCTTGGAGTCGCCGGGGTGGTGGTGGTCGCTCTCCAGGCCTCCCCTCTGTAGCCACGCACGCAGAGGTTTTGGCTGTAGTGGGCGTGGCCGACTCTGAAGCCAGCCGGAACTCCGTTCCTGTGCGTTCCTGCCCCAAAATAGCCCTGGCCACACCAGAGGGACCTCCACAAAGTGATTTTTCACCAGGACGGGACTTGCTGAGCCCACAAGCTCCTTAGGTGGCAGATCTGCCTATCAAATGCAGCGGACTGGGATGTTGACCCAGAGCCCAGGTTTCTGCACCTCTCTGGGTAAGAGGGAGGCTGCTCTGACAGCCTCTCCGGTCAAATCCACCTCCACGGGATGACAGGATGTACCACAAGCAGTGGATCTAGGGGCCTTTGATGATTTCTCTCCAGCCGCTTCTCTTGCTTTGCCAAGCCTTTCTCTCTGATCACCGCAAAGCGGGAGGCTAGTCCCACCAAGGAGGGAGGTGATGGATGCAAAGGAGGCATCGGGGTTTAGATGTGGGGGGGGGAATGCGGTGAATCACACGGTCCCCAATGCATTGTGGGTTATTTAGACTTCCTTCAAGGGAAGGTCTCAGGAAAATTAAAACCTCCATTCAAGTCGTTGCAGGAGACAACCCAGAGACGCGTTTCGGAAAAGCACAACAGTGCTTATAAAGCTCTGTCTTGTGCGCGGTTATGAAAACATCCTGCTTCCTGATGTGTCTGGGGATTGTAAAAAAACATTAAGGAGGCAACTTTCAAAAGTCTGAACTGCTTGACGAGGGTAACAAGATACAGAGAGGGGGGAAAAACACAAGAGCAATCATAGCTTGCTACAGAGAGAAAGAGCAACAGAGAATACTGAAACACTCCCCCCTGCCTTTTTCTAAGAAGTTTGTATGTGGCAACTTTCCCATTATAGTTTTAATGAGGATATTTATTTTTTTTTCCCTTACAAGACATTCCCTTGAAGAAAGGCTGCACAGCCTAACAAGCACTGACAGTAAATCTTCTGTGAACCTTTTAAGCTTTGCATCCCCGTAAAAAGCACGCACCTTATAACACACACATACTCTCTCCCCACATACCCCAAGCTTATTGTGTGTCCATATGATTCAAGATGGAGTGGAAGATGATTATCTACACACCTAGTTCTCAACAGTCCCCTAGGTGCGGATATCTAAATCCACAGATAGGGGGCATACTTACATCAAACATGTTTTTCCGCAAGCTTCGGGGACCCCCTTGGTTTGCAGAAAAATCTGAAAACTTAAAAAATACATTTAGGGGGGGGGTTTACATCCCCCCCCCAAAAAAACCCCTTACCACTGAGGGCCTGGCTGCTGTTGCTGCCGCTCCTGTGGAGCCGCTCCAGGTCAAACTATGGGGGCAGGGAATGCTGGGAGCTGCTCTGAGCCTGGTCATGCTGGTAGGGAATACCAAGAGAGACTCCGGGTTCGGCCTCAGCAGCGGGGAACACCGGGAGCCGCTCCAGGCCTGGCTGTGATGATGGGGAACGCCAGGAAAGGCTCCAGGCCCGGTTGGGGTGGTGCAGAACACCAGCAGAGACTCCGGGCGGAGCCACAACAGCGGAGAACACCGGGAGAGACTCCGGGCCTGGCCGGGGCAGACAATAGGAGCTGCTCCAGACTTGGCCACCACTGGGAGACGCTCCAGGCTAGGAGCAGCCCCCAGGCACTGCCATCGCCTCCAGACTCAAAGGTAGGGAAAAAGAGGGAGAGAGAAGGAAGGGGGGATTGGCTTGGGAAAGAGAAAGGAAAAGATGGGGGCATGGGCTTGGGGGAAGACAAAGAAGGGGGACTGGCTTGGTGGAAGGCTGGAAAGAAAAAGAAGGGGGGATTGGCTTGGGGAGAGAAAGAAAGGGGTAGATGGGAGAGAGGGAAGGAAGCAAAGGCGGGGGGAAGGCCCTCTCCCCGCAAGTTTCCTGCAAGTCCCCATTTGTAATCCTTGTTATCGAATATGCCTCTCCTATGCACTGCATGTCCCAGGTGTACCTGCCCCCTACAGGAGAGAAGGGAGCACTGCACTTGAAGCTCAGCATGATCAAAGGCAGGAGTCCCCAACCTTTTTCAGCCCAAGGGCACCTTTGGAATTCTCACACAGTATGGGTGGGAGGGCACCGCCACAAAATGGCTGCCACGGGAGGTGAAACTAGCCACAAAAAATCACACCTTACCTTCAGTCACAGAGTGAAAGATCCTTGTGCTGTGGTGGCAGCTGCGGCCAAAGTAGCATTTATAAAAAATCTGCACAATCAACCTCATCTCCAATGGCCAATCAGCAGACTTGCAGGGCAAAAGCCCCCCCCCCTTCTAAAAGCACTCGGCAGGTGCCCAGGAAAGGCTTGGCGGGCGCCACGGTGCCTACGGGCACCCTGTTGGGACCCCTGATCGAGAAGCCGGCCAGCGAACCAGAGCTTTTATGCTCAAGAGGGTCCGGAGTTTTAAAAGGAAACGCTGCCCTGGCCCCGAGTGGATGGGTGGGAGGGGGCAAGGGGACTTATTTCAAGACGCAGGAGTGCTTTCACCCTGGCATCTGAGGACGTGAAGGGTGAAATGAGGATTCTTGCAGGCCTGTCCCCTTTCCTCTAGAGAAGGCATTTGCTACTCCCAAGACAGCAGATTATTAGGAAGGGGGGGGGGTTCAGTCACGCTTAAGAACAGAGAGTAACAGAGGTCTGAGAACAGGAGAGAGACAGACTATAATTTCACGAGGCGGCAGGACAGGAGTTAAGAAGCTGGGAGGCAGGCTACAAGGGAGCAGGATTCATAACATGAAACAGCGGGGAGAGAGGAGGGGAAATTAGCAGAGGGGGACGTACGGGTGGGGGGAACACAGGTCTGCTGAGCCGGAGAAGCCGCTCGGTCTGTCGTGCCCGGGCCAAGAATGACTACACGGGAGACGGAAGGCCTGAAAAGAGCTCTACGACCAGGAGTGGAGTCCCGCAAGCAGATCTTACCCGCGCTCAGGCAGATAGTGTACGAAGGCGGTGCCCACTACGATGGTAATGGAGAAGCCGAAGAAGAAAACCAAGCGCATGTTCCACAGGTCGACGACCGGATCGGTGTCAAAGCCGTGCCAGTCTGGATTCTGGAAGGAGAAGATGGACGGAGTTAGCCTGCGGGCCGGGAAAGACCAGCCCGTTGCTTTTGGGGAGACGTTGAGCCACACACCGATAGCCCTGGACGTTGACTCGAGCCCAGCCTTTGCGCCCTGTCTTATTTCAGTTCCCTTTTCCATTTTTATTCCGCCCTTCCTCCCTGGAGAGCTCAGAGCTGCCATCTCTCCCCTCCCCTGTTTTATCCTCTAACACAGCCAGGTAGATGAGACAGAGACGATGACTGGATCAAGGTCACCGGGGGAGCTTCGTGGCAGCGGAGGGATTTCAGACTAGGTCTCCCAAAGCCCTAGGCTGTGACTTTAAACCACAACACACAGCGCTGGCTCTTTGTGTCCTCTGAAAGCTCAATCCGCCGAACCATTATGGATCCGCTCCCCTTTGGGAACCACCACCGCTGTTCATTATTGTAAATGTAGAGCTGCGGTGGCTCAAGTGGTTAAGACGCTGAACTGCAGGCTGTGGAAGGTCAGTAGTTCAGCAATTTGAGACCCGGGTGCTGCAAGACGGAGTGAGCTCCCGTCTCTAGCTCCAGCTCCTGCCAACCTAGCAGTTCGAAAGCAAGAAATTGCAAGTAGATAAATAGGGACCACTACAGTGGGAAGGTAACAGCGTTCTGTGCGCCTTAGTGTTTAGTCATGCCGGCCACATGACCACGGAAATGTCTTCGGACAGCGCTGGCTCTTCGGCTTTGAAACGGAGATGAGCACCGCAACCCTAGAGTCGGATTCGACTGGCTTTTGAGCAAGGGAACCTTTACCTTTACCTAGAGCCGTTTACAAACACAACATTTCCATCTCGAGGGATGACAGATGCTCCTGAGGCAATGTTGTGGGGTTCTCATGCAGTGTTCCCTCTAAGCTGAGTTAGTGTGAGCTAGCTCACCGTTTTTTAGCCTCCGGCTGACACATTTCTGTCTTCGCTCAGGAAGGGGGATGGCTCCAGAGCAAACTAATGTTTGCAGTAGCCGAATCGCTCGCTCACAACTTTAAGGCCGGTAGCTCACAAAGAAGAATTTTCGCTCACAGGACTCCACAGCTTAGAGGGAGCACCGCTCCAGAGCAAACTAATTTATGCCGTAGCCAAATTGCTCTCGCTCACAAAGTAGAATTTTTGCTCACAAGACTCCACAGCTGAGAGGGAAGAACTGCTCCAGAGCAAACTAATTTTTGCGGCAGCCGAATCGCTCGCTCACAACGTTAACGCCAGTCGCTCACAAAGTAGAATTTTCGCTCACAAGACTCCGCAGCTTACAGGGAGCATCCCGGCCTCAAGAGATGCTTGCTGATGTGAGCCCCCTCTGCCCTATAGGTTCCTTGTCCCCACAGAGTGTATTATACAGACCGAAGCAGTCATGTTCCCTTACCCAAAGGGACATTCATTTGTATGGAGGAGAACAAGGTGAGCCGCTTTGGGTCCCCATTGGTGAAAAAGACAAGGTATAAATGAAGGAAATAAAGACCAAGCAGGCGAGAGGGTCAGACATGAAGCTTCTGAGTAGCACAGCAGGGCAAGAGATTAAGGGGAAGGTCACCCCGGTCAGGTGTGGAGCGATGCTTCCCTGTCCCTCTGATTATTTCCACCACCTTTGCTAAAAGGACAGGGGAAGAAGGGTGAAGAGTCGTACAATGCACAAAACCAACTCTTTCGTCTAAGACCCTGTTCCATTTCAAAAGTATGTAAACAAGAAAAAAATAAATGCCCAAATTTAAACACCAAAAATACACGATTTAATGAATTATATAGATATGGCATGTATAGTACTCAGAACAAATTCTCCTATGATGCAACGGATGAACAGGTAGAAATTCACAGGTAAAGTTAATCACAGGTAGAAATTCACAGGTAGAGCTTTTCCAAAATCAATTTGTAAGAATAAATTCAAAAAGTTTCAATAATTTTTTCAGGAATCATGCTGGATTCAACCTCACATGTAGACATCCATAAAGTATATTCAGATGCAGCAATCCTCAGTGATTCCTTCATAAATACCAATGGAGAATCAATCATTTCTTGGAACCTCCCTTCAAAATCCTGAAGCATTTCACCACTATGCCATTTTCATTAGGGGGAAAGGTACTATACATGTAATTTATTAAATCATTGATCTTTGGTGTTTAAATCTGGACACATGCATTGTTTCCTCATTTACCTATATTGCTGTGCCACGGCCTTTCATCATGTATCCCATTTAAAAAATAAGTAGGTAAAGCAATGTGGCGAGGAAGAAGTCCGCCGAGCAGTGACACTTGAGCACGAGACGGTTTTGGGCTTAGAGGCACCGGGGACTCAATCACCCCAACCGCATCCAACAAGTCCCCGGCGGCTTGACTGAGCCTGGGAAAATTAAGAGGGGGGTGGTGGTGTCGGTGATGGCGGGAGAGATAATCAGCTCTTCCAAAAAGCCCAACCGGTGCAAGTGGAAAGACAGGACAATTACATTGATTTATGCAAAATGTACAGAATGGCGGCTGATTGCAAAGAAGGTGGGGGGTTAAGGAGGAGAATTCAGCAGCGCCCTTTGTCCGGTGGGAGCATGACATGTTCTCTTGCAAACCCATCCTAAAGCAGGAAGCCCGGGATGCTTCTGGACTTCCTGGCCCCGCGGGGCACCCTCCCCGGCCCCTGGGAATGAACTTGGCCGTTTCTCCCAAACAATCAGGCTCTGTTTGTGTCCGAGCCTTGCCCTTGGAGCCGAACAGGTGAGATCAGCCTAGTATTGTTCGCCCAGACACGGGTGAAGACAATGCTTCTGAAGGCACGCATGCCTCCAATGGTTTTTCCAGCAGCAAGGCTGACACTGCAGCTGACACTCTGCAGAAACAGATGGTGCCAAAGCAAGGCACAAAGGCCGCTGGGTAGCTTGCCCAGATCTGGACACTGCAGGGCTTAGTTTTATCGAGAGAGGCAAGGGCTCCTCGCCTTCTTTCAGAAGCTCCTTCTCATCCCTGGGGCTTCCTGGACCCATGAAGCCGCCTTATTCTCAATCATACCATTGGTCCATCAAGGTCAGTATTGTCTACTCAGACCGGCAAACGGCTCTCCAGTAGAGGTTTTGCACATAACCGACTGCCTGGTCCTTTGGACTGGAGATGCCGGGGATTGAACCTGGGACCTTCTGCACGCAAAGCAGAGGTTCCTCCCCTGAGCCACAGCCCTCCCCTGCTCAAGTATGTGGAAGATGACTACAGTGCCTCTGAGGAAACAGCAAAGTCCTCTGCTTAGGCTCAGAGGAACACTTTTCCCAACCAAAGTGCATGTGCAAAGACAAGATAGACCCAACACAGATGGGGACTGGATTACAAATTCTTGGGAACCAGCACTGAATTTTTAGGTACTGAATTTCCAGTTTGGAGCCTTCCAGCCATGGCACAAGCGAATGCAAGGGACTGCTAAACCCAGAGCTATTTTTGGGCAGGAACGTACAGGAACGGAGTTCCGGCTGGCTCCCAAGTTGGCCACGCCCAGCAGGAACTCATTAGCATAACAGGCCATACCCAACAGCAGAAACTCATTAGGATTGGCTACATTAGGGGCGTGTGGCCTAACACGCAAAGGAGTTCCTGCTACAAAAAAAAGCCCTGGGTTTTGACAACAAACAAGGTAAACAGAATAAAGACAGGTTGCTTACCTGTAACTGGTGATCTTCGAGTGGTCATCTGTGCATTCACACCCTTGGGAATACTCTGCGCCTGCGCTGACCTTCTCGGTACCGATAGCTAGCAAAAGGGATTTTCGCGCCTCTCCCAGGTCACGCGCCGGCTCCACTGCGCATGACCAAGGAGGGGCACGCAGATCCCGCCAGTTCCTTCTGACCGCCGCCCAACAGCCTTCAAAGAAACAAGATGAAGGGCCGAGAGCAGAGGGGAAGGAGGGCGGGTGGTGTGAATGCACAGATGACCACTCGAAGATCACCAGTTACAGGTAAGCAACCTGTCTATCTTCTTCGTGGTCTCTGTGCATCACACCCTTGGGAGAATAGCAAGCAATAACTCTTACCTGGAGGAGGGGCCGAGGCCCTACACCTGCGCCGTCTGCAAGATAGACCGACCCAACGCCACACGACGAGTAGACCGGACATCAAGGGCATAATGCTTCACGAAGGTGAGCGGAGTAGCCCAAGTCGCAGCGTTGCAGATGTCCTCCAATGGCATCCCTCTCAGGAAAGCTGTGGAAGCCGCCACCGCCCTTGTAGAGTGGGCGCGAAGTTGACCTGGAAGAGGTCTCTTAGCCAAAGCGTAACATAGCTTGATTACTTCCACAATCCACCTGGACAGCGTCTGGGAAGAGATCTTCTTCCCCAGGGAGGGCATACTGTGAGCAACAAACAAGGCAGGAGACTGACGAAAAGACTTGGTCCTGCCTAAATAGAACAGCAACGCCCTCTTAACATCCAGAGAGTGCAATTTCCGTTCCTCTTCATTGGCAGGAGACGGGAAAAATGACGGCAAAACTATATCTGAACGTAGATGAAACTCCGAAACGACTTTCGGTAAGAAGGAGATGTCCAAAGACAACGACACCCCATGAGGGGAAAAAATCAAGTATGGTGGATCACACCTTAAAGCAGACAACTCACTGACTCGACGAGCAGAAGTAATGGCCACCAGAAACGCAGTCTTGAGCGATAACAACTTTAGAGAGCAAGTGGCCAGTGGTTCGAAGGGTTTTCCCATCAAAAACCGCAAAACTAAAGCCAAATCCCAGGCCGGAGTCGGAGAACGACGGGGAGGGTACAGGCGAATAAGACCTTTACAAAACTGTTTCGTCTGAGGATGCGAGAAAACTGAAAACCCATCAATAGATGGATGAAAAGCTGACACCGCAGCTAAATACACCTTAACTGAAGAAAAACTGAGTCCCAAGTCCATTCTGGACAAAATAAACGCAAAAATAGACCTCAAATCCACTGGCGGAGGAGGTAAATTGGAAGAACTCAAGTACTGTAGGAATAAATCCCACTTCTTTGCGT